CTTGTTGATTTTCTGTCTGGATGATCTGTCCATTGACAAAAGTGGAGTGTTAAAAGTCCCCCACTATTATTGTGTTACTGTCGATTTCTTCCTTTATGGCTGTTAACATTTGCCTTATGTATTGAGATGCTCTTATGTTGGGTGCATATATATTTACAATTGTTATATCTTCTTCTTGGATTGATCCCTTGATTGTTATATAGTGTCCTTCTTTGTCTCTTATAACAGTCTTTATTTTTAAGTCTATTTTGTCTGATATGAGTATTGCTACTCCAGCTTTATTTTGATTTTCATTTGCATGGAATACCTTCTTCCATCCCCTAACTTTCAGTCTGTATGTGTCCCTAGGTCTGAGGTGGGTCTCTTGTAGACAGCATATATACGGGTCTTGTTTTCATATCCAGTCAGTCTACGTCTTTTTGTTGGTGCATTTAATCCATTTACAGTTAAGCTAATTATCGATATGTGTGCTCCTATTGCCATTTTCTTAATTGTTTTGGGTTTGTTGTTGTATGTCTTTTTTCTTTCCTTCCTCTTTTGTTCTCTTGTGGTTTGATGACCATCTTTAGTGTTGTGTTTGGGTTGCTTTTTCTTTTCTGTATGGTTATCTATTGTAGTTTTGGGGTTTGCTGTTCCCATGAGGTTCTGATATAGCAGTCTATGTATGTACAAGGTTGTTTTAAGTTGCTAGTCTCTTTCCTGCCTAGAGGAGTTCCTTTAGCATTTGTTGCAAAGCTGGTCTGGTGGTGCTGAAATCACTTAGCTTTTGCTTGTCTGTAAAGCTTTTGATTTCTCCATCAGATCTGAATGAGAGCCTTGCTGGGTCGAGTATTCTTGGTTGTAGGTTCTTCCCTTTCAACACTTTAAATATATTGTGCCACTCCCTTCTGGCCTGCCGAGTTTCTGCTAAGAAATCAGCTGTTAACCTTATGGGAGTTCCCTTGTATGTTATTTGTCGTTTTTTCCTTGTTGCTTTTAATAATTTTTCTTTGTCTTTAATTTTTGTCAGTTTGATTACTATGTGTCTTGGTGTGTTTCTCCTTGGGTTTATCCTGCCTGGGAGTCTCTGTGCTTCCTGGACTTGGGTGACTATTTCCTTTCCCATTTTAGGGAAATTTTTTACTGTAATCTCTTCAAATATTTTCTCAGATTCTTTCTCTCTCTCTTCTCCATCTGTGTCCCCTATAACTTGAATGTTGGTGTGTTTGTTGTCCCAGAGGTCTCTTAGGCTGTCTTCATTTCTTTTCATTCTTTTTTCTTTATTCTGTTCTGTGGCAGTGATTTCCACCATTCTGTCTTCCAGGTCACTAATCCATTCTTCTGTCTCAGTTATTCTGCTATTGATTCCTTCTAGTGTATTTTTCAATTCAGTTATTGTATTGTTCATCTCTATTTGTTTGTTCTTCAGTTCTTCTAGGTCTTTGTTAAACATTTCTTGATGTTTAACAAACACTTGTTAAAACATTTGTTAAAAAACAAATGTTTAACAAACATTTCTTGATGTTTCTTGATGTTTAATCGAGGAGATCCTCGATTCTTTCCTCCATCCTTTTTCCGAGGTCCTGGATCATCTCCACTATCATTATTCTGAATTCTTTTTCTGGAAGGTTGCCTATCTCCACTTCATTTAGTTGCTCTTCTGGGGTTTTATCTTGTTCCTTCATCTAGGACATAACCCTCTGCCTTTTCATTTTGTCTATCTTTCTGTGATTGTGGTTTCTGTTTTGCAGACTGCAGGATTGTAGTTCTTCTTGCTTCTGCTGTCTGTCCTCTGGTGGATGAGGCTATCTAAGAGGCTTTTGCAAGCTTCGTGATGGGAGGGACTGGTGGTAGGTAGAGCTGGGTGTTGTTCTGGTGGGCAGAGCTCAGTAAAACTTTAATCCGTTTCTCTGCTGAAGGGTGGGGCTGTGTTCTCTCCCTGTTGGTCATTTGGCATGAGGTGACCCAGCACTGGAGCCTACAGGCTCTTTGGTGGGGCTAATAGTGGACTTTGGGAGGGCTCACACCAAGGAGTACTTCCCAGAACTTCTACTGCCGGTGTCCTTGTCCCCATGGGGAGCCACAGCCACCCCCTCTCTGCCTTTGCAGGAGACCCTCCAACACTAGCAAGTAGGTTGGTTCAGTCTCCTATGGAGTCACTGCTCCTTCCCCCTGGGTCCTGGTGTATACAAGGTTTTGTGTGTGCCCTCCAAGAGTGAAGTCTCTGTTTCCCCCAGTCCTGTTGAAGTCCTGCAGTCAAATCCTGCCTGACTTCAAAGTCCAATTCTCTGGGGATTCCTCCTCCCATTGCTGGACCCCCAGGTTGGGAAGCCTGATGTGGGGCTCAGGACCTTCACTCCAGTGGGTGGACTTCTGTGTTATAATTGTTCTCCAGTTTGTGAGTCACCCACGCAATGGTTATGGGATTTGATTTTATTGTGCTTGTGCCCCTCGTATCATCTTATTGTGGCTTCTCCTTTGTCTTTGGTTGTGGGGTATCTTTTTTGGTGAGTTCCAGTGTTTTCCTGTAGATGATTGTTCAGCAGTTAGTTGTGATTCTGCTGCTCTCTCAAGGAGTGATTGCACCTCCTTCTACTCCACCATCTTGAACCAATCTCCTCCTTTTCATTTTTAAAATTCATTACAGAGATCTGAAATCATTCCAGTTTCCTTCTAGATCATTCAGATTAGAAATATGATTTCTAATAATTTAAATTTTAACAACATTCCAATGCAAAACAGCTTAGAAAGACTTTGGCTTCTATAATAATGGTGTTTACCTACAAGGGAAAGAAAACAGACATTAATTGATTGCCACATAATACCAGGGCTTCTCACATTATTTTGTTAATACCCTACTGCCTACCTGACACCTTCACTTGGCTGGACAAGTGATGAAACATCTCCTGGTCTTCCCTCCCAAACCTGCTCTTCTCATCATCCTCGCCAACTCAGTTAACAGTAATTCCATCCTTCCAGGTACTCAAGCCAAAGATTTTGTAGTCACTCTTAACTCTCCTATATCTCCCATCTAACCTATCAATAAATCCTTTTGCTTTACTTTTAAAATATATATATATATATTTATTTATTTGGCTGCGCTGGGTCTTAGTTGCAGCACACAGGATCTTCATTGTGGCATGCGTGATCTTAGTTGAATCTTTTCCCATCTAACCTATCAATAAATCCTTTTGCTTTACTTTTAAAATATATATATATATTTATTTATTTGGCTGTGCTGGGTCTTAGTTGCAGCACACAGGATCTTCATTGTGGCATGCGTGATCTTAGTTGAATCTTTAGTTGCCACGTGCAGGCTTTTAGTCATGGCATGTGGGATCTAGTTTCCTGATGAGGGATCAAACCCAGGCCCCCTACATTGGGAGCATGGAGTCTTAACCACTGGACCACCAGGGAAGTCCCCTTTTGTTTTACTTTTAAACATATCTGGAATCAGGCTATTTCTCAACATCTCCTCTCCCTGGTTCCAAGCCACCTGATTGTTGCAGTAGACTCCTAGCTGATTTTCTCCTTTGGCATGTGCTCTTCTTTTATCCCTGCATCTAGCTAAAGTAATACTTTTAAAACTAAAGACCAAGCATGTCAAGTTTCTCCTTCTTGCCAAGAGTACATGCAGTCACCTATAAAGCCCTGACATAATTTGCATCTTTTTACTAATCCCATCTACTTACATACTCTGTTCTGACCACACTGGCCTCTTTGCTTAAGCTCTCAACTCAGAGCCTTTGCACTTGCTGTTCCCTCTGCCTAGAACACCCTTCCCCCTCATCTACTTCAGATATTTACTCAAATATTTTTTTTCCATAAGGGTTTTCCTGACCACTCTATTTAAAATGAAACATTTCCTCCCCTGGTCCCCCAGGCACACACACAGACACACAGACACACATATACATATACATAGTAATACCTACCCTCATTACCTACTTTATTTTTCTTCACAGCACTTGTTAACTTCTGTTATAGTATATATCTTATTAATTCATTAGTTTTATTTATTTTCTGCATTAGAATAAATTCACTAAAGAAAGGCATTTTGGTTTTTCATTCACTGCTAATATCTTGTTATCTAGAACAATGTCTGGCACATAGCATGTACTCTGTAAATACTTATTAAATGAATGAATTTATTCTTACAACAATGCCAGGACATGATTACTACACTTCACAGATGAGAAAAAAAATACCACCAAAACTACCACCAACAATAACAAAAAGACAAAAACAAAAACAGATGCAATGAGGTTAAAGAACTAATCAAATATTTTTTAAACATTAAACTTTAAAAAATGCTTATTAATAAGAGACAGTTTAAATAAGTTATGGTATAATTAAATAATGGAATAATATGCAGCCATAAAAAATCATGAGGATAAACTTTATATTCTGATATGGAATGATCTTCAAGATGTGTTTTTAAGTAAGGTATAGAAGTATCATGTTATCCTTTGCTTCAAAATCAGGAAAAAATATACATTTGCTGGTGTATGCATAGTCTAAATCTGGAAGTATACACAAGAAACATTGAATACCACCGGAGATAAAAACTAGGTGACTAGGGATAGTTGTAGGAGGGGTCTTGTCTCTCTATGATGATTTGTACCTTTAAATTTTTGAGCCATCTGAGTGTGCTACATAGTCAAAAAGAAAATTAAACAGTAACTTAACTAAAGTCAGAAACCTAGTAAGTGACAGACAGTGACGTTTATATTCAGGACTGCCTAAATCAAAAGCCCACTTTCTTTCCACTAGCGCATATTGTCTCACAGAGAAATTTGGCAGAATCAATGCATTTAATTTTTCTACTTGGTTGAATTCTTGAAAATCATCTCTAATATATAGAAGGCAAAGAGATATTGACTTTTAGCAGGTCTTTCAGTTGAGTGAATGTCAATGGTGTGAACAGCATAGAGAAGAGTTTGTATACGTTTCTTTCTGCTGAAATCATTTCTTTTCTCTGCTTTCTTAGTCTGCTGAAATAATTTCTTTTCTCTCCACAGCTGCTGGCTGGAAACTCAAGAAAGCAGTCGTTTGATACCAAGTCCATTGTTGTGGTCATTCATCCTACCTGTGACCATTATCCTCATCAGCAATGTTGTTATATTTATTGTCATTGTAGTCAAAGTGCTGTGGAAGAATAATCAGAATCTGAAGAGGTAAGATTCCCAATGAATCAGAAGCTGGAAGGCATGGCTTATGTACTAAATATAGCACAGGAATACATCCACAGCTCCTAGAAGAGTTTTCAGATTTGGGGGAAATGGCAAGGATATGTGGTTTGCAGGACAGATTTTCTCTTAAACTTTGTCTCAGAAGGTGGATCTTCTCATCTTCCAACATCAAGACTACAATGTGAGTCTTGCATTACCTAAGATACTTTTGCACTGTATGAGCCCAACTAAAAATCCAACCCAAAGACATCAAGAAAAAAAATGTATCCCCCAATCCCAAATATTCATGAAATCAGATTTGAATAATTAAAAATATGAGAGGATTGTGAGGAGATGCTGGTAACTGTATTTTCATTTTAGAAACTAGTAACTGTAGATTATATTTTACGTGTGTTGCCTGAATCATATAACAGCTTTAAATTTTTAAAAATTTGTTGCAAACATATAAAAATTGGAACATTGGGCAACATTGGGCCCACATTCCCTGCAGATGGGGTGTGTGCTCTCTGGTTTATCAGTTCCCATGTGGACTGCTTGTTTCCTCTCTGTAACTTTTCTGACCCCAATAAGCATTTTCATTGTCATTGCTAATATACAGAAAGAGCTTTCAGTTGGAGAGACAAATAACAGAAGCTATTAAACACATATACTCCCCTTACCTCCACATCCTACAGCATGAATTGGTTAGAACACAGTGCTAATGAGGCTGTGAATTCAGGCTTAATTCTACAAGACTCTTCTTAACCCAAGTAGACTTACTATAAGTACATCTGTGAACTTTCTTGGTCACCATATAGATCCATTTTGAATGAACAGATGGGTGAAAACAGCCATGATTAGTGGGAATGTAATCTTAAACATGTACTTTACCAATCAAGAGTATCATCTTTCCTATATGGATGATAACCCATATTGAGGGGAAATGTGGAGAAAAGACTATCACTGATAATCATTCAAACCTATGTTTTCTTAACAATGCAGAAAAACCTTGGTGAAGTCTTGTTAGCTTAATTGTAAGTTAAGTTATATTTCTTTTATACAAAGCAATATCATTTTGGCCACAGACATCAAACAAATTTGTAATGTTTCAAAATTTTGACTGGCAACTCATGGTTCTTAAATTAGCTTAGTTACAGTGAAGAGCAGGTTACAATTTAATTGTTTAACAAATTATCTTCTATGTATCAGTTAGCTTTTGCTGTATAACAAATTACCCCCAAATTCAATGGCTTAGAATGATAAATATTTATTACTTGTCATAAGTTTGAGTGTTGATCATGTAGTTGTTTTGGTTTTGGCTGGCTTGAATGCTGGTAGATAACTTAGGATGAATCACTTTCATGTCTGATGGTTGTTGGTTGGTTGGTATTGAGTGGGAACTGCTCATTTGGGAAAGCTCGCCTCTGCTGCATGTGGTCTCTCTCTTAACATAGTACTCTCAGGGTTCCAAAGAGCAATAAGAAAAAACACGCTCTGATGAGTGGAATGCTTTCAAGCCTTTGTTTGTGGAACAAATGCTAATGTCCCTCTGGTCAAAGTGAGTCATATGGCCAAGCTCAGGTTCCAGGGATATAGACTTAGCATAACAGGGAAGAAGGTCACTTTGTGCTTTAATAAATTTTCATTCTGATATCAACTTATGACATGGGATGGTCCCAGATGCCCAAAAAAGGAATTACTGATCCAGTAGTTATAATCGCTAACATCAAATTCAGTTCCAAAGAAAAAGTTAATTCTATGTGAAATTTGCCTGCAGTAGTATTTCAGGAACTGTTTATGCCTGAGCTTTTAAGCAGATATCACTGTCTTCCTCCCTTCCTTCCTTCCTCTCTTCCTCTCTTTCTCTCTTTAATTCAGAGTGACATAGGTTTTTCCACCTGAGGCATAATATTGTTTAATGAACAGTGTATATGTGCAGCTGAATACATATTTTCAGTAGAAGGGTAACAATGATATTAATAAGTAAAAACCTGAATGAACCATATTTCCTTTCTTGTTTTCTCTTACTTAGCACAAAGAAGTTTTCAGTCCTCAAGAAGTTTCTTAGCACATTATCTGTTGCAGTCGTTTTTGGAGTTACCTGGATTCTGGCATACTTAATGCTAATGGATGATGATGGCATCAGGGTCACCTTCAGCTACTTATTCTGCCTTTTCAACACTACTCAGGTATGGTGTGGATTAGTCTGAAAGTAGTAGACTATGGAGTGGCAGAGATGATATCACCTGGACCAAAGTTTTCTTATCTTAAAACTCCCTGAAAGTCATTGCTTAGTTAATTTTGGGTGACTCTATTTTTAATACACTTTGAGGAAAGGGGAAGAAAAACTTTTTTATGACTTACCTACTATATCCTTTCCTGGACTGGAGTTCATGGAACGTAATTGCAATGGGGTTGGCCAATGTTAGTCCCTCTTCTCTGAGCAGAAGAGATTTTGTTGAGCAGCTAGCTTGGGAGGCACCTCCTTTGCCTCTCCGCCATGCAGCAGGTTCACAGCACCTCACCGTGGTTATATGGTCAATGTTACAGTGATCCCTGGAGCTTGGACCCTGTGGGATTGGCTTAATTTCTTCTTTCTCTCTTTTTTGAAATTTTATGATTATCTTATTTTTAAAAAAACTTTATTGAGGAATAATTGGGAATAATTGCCAACTATTACTGTATATTTTAAAATGAGCAACTTGATGATTTGATACACATATACATATAGAATGATCAAAATAACACATTCATCACTTTACATAGTTAATTTTTTTTCTTTTTTTTAAATTAAAGTATAGTGGAAGTATAGTTGATTTACAATGCTGTGTTAGTTTCTGGTATACAGCAAAGTGATTCCGTTTTTTATATAAATATATATATACTTTTTCACATGCTTTTCGATTACAGGTTATTAAAAGATATTGAGCATAGTTCTCTGTGCTATACAGTAGGTCCTTGCTGGTTACCTTTTTTTTTTTTGGCTGCATTGCGTCTTTGTTGCTGCATGTGGGCTTCCTCTAGTTGTGGAGAGCAGGGGCTATTCTTCGTTGCAGTGCATGGGCTTCTCATTGTGGTGGCTTCTCTTGTTGCAGAGCATGGGCTCTAGGCACACGGGCTTCAGTAGTTGTGGCTCCTAGGCTTAGTTGCTCCATGGCATGTGTGGTCTTCCTGGACCAGGGATTGAACCCGTGTCCCCTGCATTGGCAGGAGGATTCTTAACCACTGCGCCAACCAGGGAAGTCCCTGGTTACCTATTTTTTATATGGTATTTTTACATGTTAATCCCAAACAATTAATTTATCTCCCCCCATCCTGTTATCCCCTTTGGTAACTATAGGTTTGTTTTCTATGTCTGTGGGTCTATTTATGTGTTGTAAATAAGTTCATTTGTATTATTTTTAAAGACATCGTTAAATACTTTGTGTGTGTATGGTGAGAATGCTTAACTACTCAGCAACTTTTAAGTACATGATACCATATTATCAACTATAGTCACCATGTTGTACATTGGGTTCTTATTCTTCTTATAGTTTAAAACTTTGTACTCTTTGACCTATACTACCCTATTTACCTCTCCCCCCAGCCCCTGGCAACCACCATTCTATTTTCTGTTTCTATGAAATTGGCTTTAAAAAAATTCCACATGTAACTGATACCACATGTGTTTGTCATTCTTGTCTGGCTTATAGCAATTAGCGTAATGCCCTCCAGGCTCATCTATGTTGTCACAAATGGCAGGATTTCCTTCTTTTTTATGGCTGAATAATATTCCATTGCATGTATCTACCATGAATTTTCTTTACACATTCATTCATCAAAGGACATTTAGGTTATTTCTATATCTTAGCTATTGTGAATAATGCTGCAGTGAACATGGGTGTGCAGTTTTCCCTTCAAGATAATGATTTCAATATTTAGGATAGTTTTTTCAAATTTTAGGATAGATGTTTCTGTGAAAAATACCATTGGAATTTTGGTAGGATTGCATTGACTCTTTAGATTACTTTGGGTAGTATGGAAATTTTCACAGTATTAATTTTTCCAGTCCAAGAACACAGATACCTTTCCATTGATTTATGTCTTCTTCAGGCTTTTTCTTCAGTGTCATAGCTTACAGTGTATAGATTTTTCCTTGGTTAAACTTATTTCTAAGTATTACATTGTTTTTTATACTATTGTAAGTGGGATTGATTTATTAATTTCTTTTTCAGGTAGTTTGTTGTTAGTGTATAGAAATGCAAATAATTTCTTTTTCTTTTTTTTAAAATCTTGGTTGGAGTATAATTGGTCTACAATGGTGTGTTAGTTTCTGCTTCAAAATAAAGTGCATCAGCCATACATATATATTCATATATCCCCATATCTCCTCCCTCTCATGGCTCCCTCCCACGCTCCCTATCCCACCCCTCTAGGTGGTCACAAAGTACCGGGCTGATCTCCCTGTGCTATGTAAAATGTATCTATTTTACATTTGGTAGTGTAAATATGTCCATGCCACTCTCTCACTTCGTCCCAGCTTACCCTTCCCCCTCCTCATGTCCTCAAGTCTATTCTCTACATCTGTGTCTTTATTCCTGTCCTGCCACTACGTTCTTCAGAAGCTTTTTTTTTTTTTTGAGATTCCATAGATATGTGTTAGCACATGGTATTTGTTTTTCTCTTTCTGACTTACCTCACTCTGTATGACAGACTCTAGGTCCATCCACCTCACTACAAATAATTTGATTTCATTTCTTTTTATGGCTGAGTAATATTCCATTGTATATATATGCCACATCTTCTTTATCCATTCATCTTTTGATGGACACTTAGGTTGCTTCCATGTCCTGGCTATTGTAAATAGAGCTGCAATGAACATTGAGGTAGATGACTCATTTTGAATTATGGTTTTCTCAGGGTATATGCCCAGTAGTGAGATTGCTAGGTCGTATGGTAGTCTATTTTTAGTTTTTTCAGGAACCTCCACACTGTTCTCCATAGTGGCTGTATCAATTTACATTCCCACCAACAGTGCAAGAGGGTTCCCTTTTCTCCACACCCTCTCCAGCATTTATTGTTTGTAGATATTTTTATGATGGCCATTCTGACTGGTGTGAGGTGATACCTCATTGTAGTTTTGATTTGCATTTATCTAATGAGTAGTGATGTTGAGCATCCTTTCATGTGTTTGTTGGAAATCTGTATATCTTCTTTGGAGAAATGTCTACTTAGATCTTCTGCCCATTTGTGGATTGAGTTGTTTGTTTTTTTGATATTAAGCTACATGAACTGCTTGTAAATTTTGGAGATTAATCCTTTGTCAGTTGCTTCGTTTGCAAATATTTTCTCCCATTCTGAGGGTTGTCTTTTGGTCTTGTTTATGGTTTCCTTTGCTGTGCAGAAGCTTTTAAGTTTCATTAGGTCCCATTTGTTTATTTTTGTTTTTATTTCCAACTCTCTAGGAGGTGGGTCAAAAAGGATCTTGCTGTGATTTATGTCATAGAGTGTTCTGCCTATGTTTTCCTCTAAGAGTTTTATAGTGTCTGGCCTTACATTTAGGTCTTTAATCCATTTTGAATTTATTTTTCTGTATGGTGTTAGGGAGTGTTCTAATTTCATTCTTTTGCATGTAGCTGTCCAGTTTTCTCTGCAGCATTTATTGAAGAGTCTCTCTTTTCTCCACTGTATATTCTTGCCTCCTTATTCTAAAATAAGGTGACCATATGTGCATGGGTTTATCTCTGGGCTTTCTATCCCGTTCCATTGATCTATATTTCTGTTTTTGTGCTAGTACCATACTGTCTTCATTACTGTAGCTTAGTCTGAAGTCTGGGAGCCTGATTCCTCCAGCTCCATTTTTCTTTCTCACGATTGCTTTGGCTATTCGGGGTCTCTTTTGTTTCCATACAAATTGTGAAATTTTTTGTTCTAATTCTGTGAAAAATGCCATTGGTCATTTGATAGGGATAGCATTGAATCTGTAGATTGCTTTGGGTAGTATAGTCATTTTCACAGTGTTGATTCTTCCAATGCAAGAATCTGGTGTATCTCTCCATCCGTTCATAGCATCTTTAATTTCTTTCATCCGTGTCTTACAGTTTTCTGCATTCCGGTCTTTTGTCTCTTTAGGTAGGTTTATTCCTATGTATTCTATTCTTTTTTTGCAATGGTAAATGAGAGTGTTTCCTTAATTTCTCTTTCAGGTTTTTCATCATTAGTGTATAGGGATGCCAGAGATTTCTGTGCATTAATTTTGTATCCTGCTACTTTACCAAATTCATTGATCAGCTCTAGTTGTTTTCTGGTAGCATCCTTAGGATTCTCTATGTATAGTATCATGTCATCTGCAAACAGCGACAGCTTTACTTCTTCTTTTCCAATTTGGATTCCTTTTATTTATTTATTTTTTTTGTGATACACGGGCCTCTCACTGTTGTGGTCTCTCCTGTTGCAGAGCACAGGCTCCAGACGCGCAGGCTCAGTGGCCATGGCTCACGGGCCCAGCCGCTCCGCGGCATGTGGGATCTTCCCGGACCGGGGCACGAACCCATGTCCTCTGCATCGGCAGGCGGACTCCCAACCACTGTGCCAACAGGGAAGCCTTTGGATTCCTTTTATTTCTTTTTCTTCTCTGATTGCTGTGGCTAAAACTTCCAAAATTATGTTGAATTATAGTGGTGAGAGTAGACAACCTTGTGTTGTTCCTGATCTTAGATGAAATGGTTTCAGTTTTTCACCATTGAGAACGGTGTTGGCTGTGGGTTTGTCATATATGGCCTTTATTATGTGGAGGTAAGTTCCCTCTATGCCTACTGTCTGGAAGGTTTTTATCATAAATGGGTGTTGAATTTTGCTGAAAGATATTTCTGCATGTATTGAGATGATCATATGGTTTTTCTCCTTCAATTTGTTGTTATGGTGTATCACATTGATTGATTTGCATATATTGAAGAATCCTCACATCTCTGGGATAAATCCCACTTGATCATGGTGTATGATCCTTTTAGTGTGCTGTTGGATTCTGTTTGCTAGTATTTTGTTGTGGATTTTTGCACCCATGTTCATCAGTGATAATGGCCGGTAGTTTTCTACTTTTGTGGCATCTCTGTCTAGTTTTGGTATCAGGGTGATGGAGGCCTCATGGAAAGAGTTTGGGGGTGTTCCTACCTCTGCTATATTTTGATAGAGTTTGAGAAGTATAGGTGTT